TTGGAGAGCATGCAAAGAGGCAAAGCTGCTGGTGAGGATCAGGTAACATCAGATCTGCTGAAAGATGGAGGACAGATTGTGTTAGAAAAACTAGCCACCCTGTTTACGAGGTGTCTCCTGACGGGAAGGGTACCAGAGTCTTGGAAGAACGCTAACATCATCTTAATACATAAGAAAGGAGATGACAAGGACTTGAAGAATTACAGGCCGATCAGCTTGCTCTCTATAGTATACAAGCTATTTACAAAGGCAATTGCTAACAGAGTAAAGAAAACATTAGAATTCAATCAACCAAAGGAACAAGCAGGATTTCGAACAGGCTACTCAACAATTGACCACATTCATACTATCAATCAGGTAATAGAGAAATGCTCAGAGTATAACCAACCACTATACATAGCCTTCATAGATTATGAGAAGGCGTTTGATTCAGTAGAAATATCAGCCGTCATGCAGACACTGCGGAATCAGGGCGTAGATGAAGTATATATAAACATTCTGGAAGAAATCTACAGGGGATCAACTGCTACCGTAGTGCTTCATAAAGAAAGCAACAGAATACCAATCAAGAAGGGTGTAAGGCAGGGGGACACAATCTCCCCAATGCTATTTACCGCGTGCTTACAGGAGGTTTTCAGAAGCCTAGAATGGGAACAGTTATATATGAGTTAATTGAGAATACCTTAGTAACCTGCGCTTCGATGATGACATTGCATTGCTGAGTAACTCAGGGGATGAATTGCAACTCATGATTACGGAGTTAGACGAGGAGAGCAGAAAGGTGGACCTTAAAATTAATCTGCAGAAAACGAAAGTAATGTACAACAACCTCGGAAAGGAGCAGCGCTTCGAGATAGGTAGTAGTGCACTTGAAGTTGTAAAAGACTATGTCTACTTAGGGCAGGTAATAACTGCAGAGCCTAACCACGAGATTGAAGTAACTAGAAGAATAAGAATGGGGTGGAGTACATTCGGCAAGCACTCTCAAATTATGACAGGTAGATTGCCACTATCCTTCAAGAGGAAGGTATATAACAGCTGTATCTTGCCGGTACTTAGCTACGGAGCAGAAACCTGGAGACTTACAAAGAGGGTTCAGCTTAAATTGAGGACGACGCAGCGAGCAATGGAAAGAAAAATGGTAGGTGTAAACTTAAGAGACAAGAAGAGAGCAGAGTGGATTAGGGGACAAACGGGGGTTAAGGATATCAAAGTTGAAATAAAGAAGAGGAAATGGACATGGGCCGGGCATGTAGCACGTGGACAGGATAACCGCTGGTCATTAAGGGTAACTAACTGGATTCCCAGAGAAGGGAAGCGGGTTAGGGGGAGACAGAAGGTTAGGTGGGCAGACGAGATTAAGAAGTTTGCGGGTATAAATTGGCAGCAGCAAGCACAGGACCGGGTTAACTGGCGGAACATGGGAGAGGCCTTTGTCCTGCAGTGGACGTAGTCAAGCTGATGATGATGATGATGCATGTCATGTAACATCACTACGTGCCACACTCATGATGCGCTGGGGGCCTTTCGCCAACTTCAATTGTACCAAACTTAATATTATTCGACGCAAAAGGACGACAAAGGTAAATGTCACATCCAAACATGATAATGACGACAAGCGCGTCATGTAACAAAATGACTGCATGCCACACTGATGATGTGCTCACAGCTGTTTCACTAGCTTCACATGTACCAAACTCGGTATTACGTGACGCGAACGGACGACGTAGGTAAATGACACATCCAAACATGATAATCACGACATGCGTGTCATGTAACAACATGACTACATGCCACACTGATGATGCGCTCGCGGCCTAATCGCTAGCTTCACATATGCCACATTTGGTATTACGTGACGCCACTGGATGACGAAGGTATGTGACTGGTGCAGACATGATAATCATGAGATGTGTGTCATGTGAGAACATGACTACCTGCCACAGTCATGGTGCCAATACATTTCGACGCTACGTGGTGCGCGAGCTTGCCGGTGTTCATTTAGTCGCGGCACGCCGGCGTTGCCTCACCAGGCACCGGTACTGCCATATACTCGCAGGCGCTTTCCGCGCTGCGTTGCTTTGACGCATTCGCGTTTCAGTGCATCCGGCGTCCCTCCGTCACGAAAAGAGGAAGATGCGGTGTTGTTTTGGTAACGCATCGGCGCGAAATGCAACATGCTGCATTTCGCGCCGGTTGCTGTGAGGCCGCACCTACAAATGCTGGTTACGCCTGGCGTCAGACTATAGAGCGCTGTGCCCAGCGTGCGCGCACGTCAACGCTACATTAGAGTATATTAGGCCCTTTATAATGCGCTCGCAGCTATTTTGCTAGCTCCGCATATACTAAATTTGGTGTTATGGAACGTCAATGAATGACAAAATGTATGACTGGTGCAAACATCCTAATCGTGACAAGCGTGTCATGTAAGAACATGACAACATACCACGCTCATAGCGTGCTCGCGGCCGTTTCACTAGCTCCGCATATACTAAATTTGGTATCGCGTGACGTGAATAGGTGATGAGGGTAAACGACACATCCAAACATGATAATCATGACACGGAAGTCATGTATGGCATAATTTACCTCCACCTCGTAAGTTTGGGCTGATATTAAAGGGACATATCAACATTTCTCATTTGTACTGCACATATCGATTCCCACTGTACGTGGGATCTGTCAATTTTTTTAACCTCATTATTTTTTATGTTATTCTCCTTTTTATAGCGTTAATTGTATAATACTGTATAAACTTTTCAATATAAACATTTCTTTCCTAGTGTTTGTATTAAGTATATAAGAAACGTTTCTGTTATTGAACAGAACATTTTTTTTAGCTACAGTTTGGTACCAAGGAATGTAAATAAGGCATTAGTATCTAGCGCAAAAATGTTTTTACACTCAGTAAAAGTGGCCCGCTTTCCCACTGTAGCGATAGAGTTAAAGCCTATTTCAAACTGCCATCGACTACCACTTATTTCTGAAAGCAATAAAAAAGAAAAGAGCAGACTGACAGCAGATAACCGAAGCGAAATGGTGCTTTTAGAACACTGTAGGCCTTGCCGAACGGCGCTGCTGCTGATGCTCACGATGGCAATGGAGGTGTGGCAGCTTGGGCTAGTTGGTATGGCATTACGATAGTTATAGCGTGTGAACAAAACGACGACACAGAGGCAAGAAGGACACGAAAGACACGAGCGCTAACAATGACTCGGGTACGCTCATCTGTGTGCTTGTACAGCGTCGCTGTGTACCTGAAGAGGGGAACACAATCGCACTCAGTGCAGTGCCGAGCAATAAAACCATCTTTCCCGTTTCTAACATTGTTAGCGTGTTCTCTCAGCCGATCGTTCAGACACCTTTCGGTCGTTCCGACATAAGCATAGCGCTCGTGTCTTTCGTGTCCTTCTTGTCTCTGTGCCGTCGTTTTGTTCTGGCGCCATAACTATCGTCAGGCAATGGAGGCTTTTGACTTCAGCTGCCCATTGTTACTTCTTTTCTTGTAAGATGCAACTTCGTTGTATTGAGCTCTGAGTGTATGTAGAGATAAGCCGTTTGTGAAGTGGTATCTTTCATACTTCAGAGCTCCATGCCATGTTATGTTGCTCCACACAAACATCCCGGAAACTGAAGCCATGGCTTCCTTCTGGATGTTATACATCCTGTCATGATGTTGACAGCTAAACCACAGCCCATGACGATCATTTGGCCTTAGAGACTCCTTCTATATGACTTTTGGCGATGCATTTTCTATGTGCCACCTTTTACGAGATCAGCTGAGGTTTCTCCTACTGTCTTTAATATGTAACCATAAAACTGTGCCCTAAAGGTCTTTCTTCCCCCTCTCCCGAGCCTCGTTTTTCGCTTGCTCATATACAGCAGAAAACCTCTTGTCAACATTGTCCTTCAGTGCCATCTAGAGTAACTACATTAATCACAGAGCGGTTTAAAAAGAACTGCCCTGTCATCGTGTGATGTCTTACGTTGGCATCCTACAGGTTGCTTGTTTGATACACATGTTGAACAGGCTGCATGTTTGGAACTCCAGCGGGCACTTTGTTTCGAACGCTAGTATTGCCGAAGAGCTAATTCATTTAACTGAGCTAGCAAAACATCAGGGTCAGGAGTTACATCTATGGAAGAAAGAAGTGGAGGTTAGACGCCAGTGCCAGTAGTGAAGCACTGACGTACTGCACTCAGTGCAGTAAGCTGTAGAAAAACAGTGTAAAACAAATCGCAAGCAAATCAGAAAATCACATGAAAAGGACTAAAATTTGTTTGAAATGCCACATAATCATTCAAGAGCAGGGAAGCAGCAGATGAACACAAGAGTGCAAAAGGACAGGAAAGATTAGATAACCAGTACAGAAACCCATTTTAATTTTTCCTGTCTATCGGATAGGTTGCCGATTTGGACACCTCTTAATGCAAGAACAGCCCATTAAGAGCTGCGCACTAAAAACGGCACTTCAACTGCTTCTGAGAGTAAAACATACTGTGGAGCGTTACAGAACCCAACCTGTCATTTTGGCTTCTCCGCCAGCAACTGTCCCCACCGCACTCAGTAAATTTTTGCACTTAGATCAATGGGGCCTTCTCTCCCACTGCTCTCCTTCCTTCAAGTCACCACCACCCTAGTGCTACAAATATATATGTCAAAGTGAGCTGCGCCCATTAGTAAAAGAGCAGCTGTGCTCAATCTACCTGGAAGGGGCCTCTTGCCGAATTTTTGGAATTGGGGAAGAAAATGGGGAGGTGAAGAAAATGCACAGTTCTAACAGTTTAGGCAGAAGTGTGTGTGTGTGACACACCAAGACGAAATATTTCTACAATCCGCTGTGCATCGCTACGTGTGTAGTGCTGGCGCTTGTTTTAATTCCGTATATTTCTCTGCTGTGTTGGCTTAGGACTTATAACAATAACGAATGAAAAATGCATAAAAAAAACCATTAACAGCTACGCATGTGTTGACAGCATCTGCTCATTGTTATGCACAGGTTCCCGCAGAGCTCTTAGAGCCACTGGATTCCAAGGACACGAGCAGAGCTAGCGCAGCCGATGACTCTGGTTTGCCTTCCTTTGTGCTCGACTCGAGTGATGACAGCATAGATTTCAAGACACCACCTGGCACAAAGAAGAGACGCAAGGTAAAACCTGTAGAGCCGGCCGCAGCCCTTGTGGATGTGACGCCTGGCCGGCGTACTACGTCACCGTCGCCGAAGAAGTCTGTCAAGCTGCTCGCCTCGCCAACCCCAAAGACACGCCGTCGGGGTCCAGTTGTGTCCACACCTCGTAATGCCACACCCAAAGTGAGTGGGACTATATTATCGCAATTAATTTATTTCAGCAAAGGGACACTTCCAATTACATTAGTGGATGCACTAGGTAGACCTCATATTCAGGCTGTATGAAGCTCATCAGCAGAAAGAAGAAAAGAAAAAGAGGAGAAGTTTCACTCCGCTGGGGGCCTACATACAGCCTCATGAAGCCAACAGATAACCATGTGAAACAGTGAAGCAACACGCATTAAACATGGAGGAAGATGACTGTTTTTATTATTTGAAAATGTGTCAGCCAAACGTGCACTGCCCAGATAATGTGTACATACCTACAAATTTACTGTAAAATATAAGGTTTCTACATTAAAGCTCGTTTATGATGGCCGTGTAAGCATATTGGAATAATATTGTTACGTTTACCGTAGGCACCGCGGCACCAGAGGCTTTTCTCACGAGGAAAAGCTTCTCTTCAACTCTAACCTCCCTGTTCCCCGTTACACAGATTCTCATACCCAAATCACGCATGCATTTGTTCGTGTGTGACTTAAAGCAACACTGATTTTACATCAGCACGAGTACACCCATAATTGAATACATTTTAAAGCTTGATATTTAAGCCCATCATATTTAGACTTATCCATCACACTGACACTTATGTACTTGCTCAACCGATGGGATGGCAGCTGCAGTTTTGGCTGCCATTACTTGTGCAATTGTGGCGGAGATCATTAATCTTCAAGTATATTACAGTGGAAGGCTTGTTGATGGCATAAACATTGGTGTACTTTGAATAAGCAACCAGTTCATGTATTGAAACTTGATTTCATGTGCATAATGGAACATATTTTTCATCTGCCAAGCTGCTGAGGGCACAATGTATGCACTATACATCCCATGTATTTTACTGGTTGTTTACAACCCCTTTTCTCTGAAACTACTCTTATCTAAAGCATTCAAGTACGTTTTATTCTATTTTTGGCATGTCCTTGCAGTGGAACTAGAATTTCATTTCAAGTGTTGACATTTGTGCAATTTTTTTCGGTCAGGCAAGTAATTTTTGTCATTATAATAACTGCAAAAAAAAAAAGAGAACTATTCCTCATACGTACACTATTCTAGTTCAGTAGCTTTATATTGATGTTTGTCATATTCTGGTTAAAAATAAGCACTCTGTTTTTTTCCAGTTGTTTTGATAATGGGGCAAACGTAACACTAAATTGATTTCGAGATATTGAGAGATATTGAGAGTTAAGAAGTTAAAGGAGCACTCACATCAAATTTCAAGATCGAGATGTGCCCATCATTCGATCACTTGGTATGCATAGCATACCTGCCAAGTCTCCCGGATAGGCCTGGAGCCTCCCGGATTTTCACCGTTTTTTCTGGTTGTACGGTTGTCATCAAAATCTCCCGGAAATCAAAATTTATCTGCGTGATCTGGCCGCATTGACAAAAAAGCAGCTCAATCCAACTCAGGTTTTTCGAATCGACCCCATTTTATTATAAATGAGTATACGAGGCGTTCATGTAAACGTACGGTATAATCTCAATTATGCGAAACCGTGGCAGATACGAATTCTTGAAATTCACCAGCCAAATTTTACTATGTTCATTGGGCCTCAATTCGAATGTTTCGAACTCATTTCCTAATCTTGGCGGGTGATACGAAATTTAGTACGGAAACCATCGAACGAAGGCCGAGAGCAGCTTACTCGGAGCTTCGAAAGTACGCGTGCGACCGGCGCACGCACTGTCTTCTACAGTGCTTGGGATTGTCGTTGCCACAACTGCTGTGGACGAAACCACGGTCGCTCTTGACACGATCATGTATGGCCACAGCGTAACTGACAGAACCCCGTAAGTGCGCACTCAACCAGTCAAAGCAACGCTGCTTTCCGCAAACTCTGCGGACATCCCGTCCGCAGAGTTTGCGGACATCCCGTCCGCAAAGCTGCGCCATCCCGTCCATTCACGTGTGTCCGAGGAAGACACACGCGAGTTGTTTTGAGTGAAATAGATTCTGCTGGTTGTGTTGATTCTTTGAGACTCTCACCTTAGTGAAAACGTCTACCTTTGTGTGTTCGGCCACTCCTAACCACAATAAGACCGCAACGCTGATGTTGGCGTTTGCGATTGAGACTCCCCTCCCACTGCCTTTTGTTTTTCCTGATGTTTTTTGTTTGTATGTATGTCCTCTTTTTTTGTGCTGCATGCACCCCCCTCCCCCCCTCATTGCGGAAATCTCCCGGATTCAGAATCCTTGAACTTGGCAGGTATGGCATAAGTCTTCTTGGTCTTCTTGGCCAAATTTTAATGGCATCTATCGCGTGGAATTTATTTTAAAATAGATGTCAAACAAGTAGAAAAGCTAAGGAGAAAAAAGGGAAAATAGACTGCCCTGCGACATCGACACTAGTGCCGTGTGTTCAGTGTGATACACTCCACAAATACCATCCTGAGTGACAATGCTCTAGTAGCGCTGACAAGTACCATCCGGGTGTTCCTATCGAGGCGTCTAAGTGCAGAAACGCACTCGCTCGTCGTGTCTGATTTTCGACGCACCGGTTTGAATGATCTTGTGAAATTATCAAGATAAAAACCACCTTTAAAAGAGCGGCAAAAGAAAAAAGCATGATTAAACATGTCCTTGTCGGTCAGCAAGTCGGGGAATCATTGTGAGTTGCAAATGAGTTACAGTCGTCTAGTTCGAAGCATGGAAATTTCATATCACATATGTGTTACACATGAACACGACCGCAAGCTATCTAAAGTGGAACAGATATCATTGCTAACAAGTAACACGCAGGTGTCGTTGAATTTTAGTTCATCAGTAGACTTGCATCCACGTAAAAGTGGTAATACCGTGTTAACCGCGAGAGGCTGGATAGGTGGTGCCATCTGGAAGTGCAAATAAGAACCTGGCAAGCAGGAAACGTATTCCATTTCTCCGCTAATGCTCATTCATGATAGCTATAGTGCAGTGACCCCTCTGCGTATACCTGAATGCTTTGCACGTCAAAACACATTTATATAGCTAACTGAGACACACGAGCGAACATGGCTGAAGCGTGCATCCTCGAGCACCTCTGCAGTGCTGCTTGGAACGGCGTACATTTCGGAGTCACTGTTGTGCAAAAGGTCGATCGAAGCAAAAATAATTTGCAACGTCGCGAATCGCAGAGATTCTAAGCTCCAGACTATTATATTGAACCCGAGTCGACACTTTTGAACTGCGATGACAGCAATGCAGGTGACAAGGCATGACTGAATGTGTCCGCTTAGCAGACAAAATGTTTGCGGAGCAACTGAGCCTGATGTCACTCTTTTCTGTGAAGAAGTGGTAAGCTGTGGCGTGATTTGGAAGTGACCACGAAGTAGCGCCACTGCTGGTGCTCCTAGCACTAGAAATGGCGGGATTGCCGGCCGTTTTGAATAGTCCTAGATACCAGTGATATAAATCAATAAAAGTGATAGTTATTCATCCCTCAGTTGCATTTTACATTGCGAATCGCTGCTATGGGGCCTATAGCTACTCGCTGATGCAAAAATCTTGGCATGAGTGAATTTGATGTCAGTGCTTCTTTAAAGAAAGTTTGTTTCATGTTTTGTTCAAAAATAATGTGTGCTGAACAATTTAATTAATAGCAACGTGCGACATAGTAAGCACAGGAATCAGCTTATTACTTGTTATCTTGGTTTCTGGGCTTGTTTTTTCATATCTCCTTTCTCTCTAATAGGCGTATACTGTCGATGGCTGTTGACCTCATCCAGCCACATAGTAACAGTATCGAGCCTCTCTCCTATGCCAAATGCAATGGTTATCCGACTGCGCCAGTCATGCCAATAGTGCAAAACTGTTACCGTAAAAACCAGAATATAAGTCGGACCGTAACATAGGTCGACTCACCAAACCTTGAATCTCCGAAAAAGATTTTTTTGAAAATCGCAAAGTATTGCGGCGCACCCTTACGTTGATAAATGCGCGGCACAACTAGCTGCACTGTGGGGCCACATTTTTTTTCATTTAGACACTAATCTTATGTAGTTAAATGGCCACTTACCAGGCCCCATAACAAATTTTGGTTTGACTAAGGAAGTTATGTGCTTGATGAGGAGCATTATGCCACAAAATTTTTTCATTCAGTTAATTACGAACTGATAAAATTGTTTGTTTGTTTTTTTTCAAGCAGCGCAAAACGAGGATAAGAGGAAACGAGCTCAAACCTTTGCCACTTCCCCGTGTAGGCCTCATAAGTCCAATTTCTTCCCTGCCCCCTCCGGCAACCGACCAAAAGGTCACGTGCTCATGACGGGCCCGATCAAGCCCAACCCCCAAGCATGCGAGCAGCGTTGTTTTACAGCGTTTTTTTATAGTCTAGTCAACTGCCTGTTCCTGCGGGATGGTTTGGAAACGCTGCCTTAGACACTGTAGAATAGATAAGCATAATGAGTGCTTGAACGCGCAGCACCATTAATTTCTTTTCCAAGACAGGCACCAACTGCGGGGACACGAACACATGCGGGCGCATCTCGTTCCAACTCACAGGCGGGGGAATGGAAAAGACGCTCACATTTCCTTATTTCGTCTCATTATTTATCTCAAGTTTTATTCATCTATTCAAGCAACAGATTACATAAACCACACATGTCGTGTTAAATAATTTTTGCCATGTCACGTGCTACTGTTGTCAACAACAGAACGCAGTCTTCTACGTAGAGGACCAATGTCACAGCACTGCCATGTACGTAGGGAAATTCATATGTGTTCGTCATCACGGTCATGCTCTCCATGCTCTCGGCGCGGGTCCGAAAAAGGAAGAGAGAGCAGCATTCATCTTGAAATTTGACCCATTTTCACAGCGCATAGCGTTGCAAATTTTGGCAGATGTGATAGGGAACGCCCCATCTATGCACTGTGTTTGTTAGCTCAAAATTTTCAAACCTGGTGAGTGGCCCTGTGAAAAGGCCACAAAGTGCTGTCACCCAGACTCGTTTGAACTTGAGTCCGGCGATGCCTGTTTTTCACTAGTAACGTCACAGAGTGCATTGTCCTTCGTTCCATCCAATGCATTACTGATGCAGCATTTGGGGAAAGACTGAAGTACGCCACCTCAGTGCAGCGCTTCGTAAATCAGCGCACCCACGATGGCGATACCTTTAATTGCACCCTCGGGAGCACTGAGTCGCGCTCTATCTCGAGAGCTTTCACGCAGATGCACTCAGCTGTCACGGGTAGCGACCTTGCCCGCAGCTCCTGGACGAATTCAATGAGTAGTGTTTCTAGTTTGGGGTGCACTGCAGTTTGTCCACGAATTGATGTTTCTTTTTTTTTTTTTTTTTTTTTGGTTAGTGCAGGATGTGATGTTCTCCTTTTGGCTCCTCCAGTATCGCACGCTTTTCTCCTATGCACCGAATTCTCATTGTGCTGCCAGGTTGCCTTGTGCTTCGGCATACTCGATAACTTTTTTCTTAAAACCTATCGTAAATTGCCGTCGGCTACCACTCATTTCTGAAAGAAATAGAAAAAAAGAAAACAGTAGACTGACAGCAGATAACTGAGGCAAAATGGCGTAGAACACTGTAAGCCTTGCCTAGCCTTGCCCAACGGCGCCGCTGCTGATGCTCACACTGGCGATGGAGGCTTTCGACTTCAGATGCCCAGTGTTGCGAGACTTCCACATTTTTCCTGCCAATGACTGGTATATAAGACGAAGGTCGGCTTTTCAGTGCGTTTTTTTTTTTTTTAAAAAAAAAAAGTTCATCTTTATTTTGGTTTTCACAGTAGGTAAGACTAGTCGCATAAGTCCTCAGCACTTGCTGAACCCTAAAATGTCTTTCCCGGGCCCAGTCTTAGACACCTGTTACGGCGAATCCAATCCGAGTAGTGGCGATTGTAAGAACAAAGGAGGGTTCGGTTGTTCACACCGTGCCTTCCCTCCCTACCCCAAGGACCCCCAGGAAAGAAGGGAAAAAAAGAACCGCCGACACTCCTTCCACCTCACTGGTCGTTGCCTGTCATCTGGTATATGTTTGTGGAAAGCCATATTTTTCGCTCAACCATGCAAGTTGCACTAGGGCTAGCCCACACCTAGTCGCTCCTTGATGGCATGTTAGGTGAAAAGTTTGTGAACACAAGGTGTCACTAAAGCCAATGTTTCGACAAGTGAACTATTTTTCTTTATACTTGGCAACGTTTACAGAACCAAGTTAATACTTAGATTGATCACCAGCCTTGGCTTTGTACTAGTTCATTTCATACCACCTTTATTTTTTACAATACTTTTTCTGAATATTTGGAAAAATTGGAAGTGCTCAACCCAAATGACCTTAGCAGTGAAACGACTATGCCACTCAGTGCTCACGCCTCTAAAAATGATTGAATACGATGGAACTGATCCGTAGTGAGTTGTGGTGAGTGACTGAATTCGCTATCTGCACAGGAATTTTCAAACAGTATGTACTCATGCACCACAAGTTTTCTTCGCCTTCTTTCTTTAATTGCTTTAGTGCTGGTTTTCTGGATAGGACTTTTCTTTCTTTTTGTAATGATCTTATGACGCCTTTCATTCATAGATAGAAACTGTATGTGCAAGCTTGCCTTGTCACAAAGTTTACACTTCAACACTTATCTTGTGTATATAACATTGCAGCGAAACCAGACTGTGACACTATTTCGTGCTAGGAGCTTGATTAATAGCCGCCGTCTAGGTGTTGGCCTTGTCTTTTTGTTTACATTGCAGCAGTATGGCCAGTACACACAAATAAGAATATTCATGGAAAATTTGGCCGTGTACTGCTCCAAATGATCCTAAGCTCGATTTTGTCGGCTCCAGACCTGCTGAAAAACACATTTCCTTCTGCTTTCAATCCGCTCCAAAACCGAGATTTTCCTGCTCCAAAAATTGCTCCGCATCCTAAACTGGCTAAACAACCACTGCAATGGCCTTGAGAATGTTTTCTCGAGCCACGCAGGCCTTTTTCATTGTTAAGGCAGTTTCAGCCATGGCAGGTCAAAGAGCTTCCATTCCAAAAACACAATACGTTGTATTCTCTACGAGTGGCACGGTTTCTCCACGTTCTCTGCAGACACTGTTACTGGTAATCGCAGTTTAGCCATTGTCATTACAGGTAACATTTTGTCCTTGCAGCAATGCATAATGAGCATAAAGTTTGCTTGCCGAAGTGCTTGTACAAGTGCACCTGGTCTTGCTTCTGTTGGTAGTTGAAGTGCGTTGATTTCCAATTAGTATATTGTGCTTTCTAAACAGTTTCTTTCACCCCTCAACTCGAGAATATGTTTGGTGCTGCTGCAAAACCAACAAAGGCGCCACCGAACTTGACATAAATGCAGAGAACCACGTCTCTGTGCGAGTCTTGTACACGCAAGCCAGGTCGGCTCGACAAATGTTAAAAAAAACTGCACCATGTGCTTTTAAATAACCGGAATACTTTAACACCTGCTAAGCTACCAGTTTTCATTTTTGAAAAATTTATGTGAGAAAGCTCAAGTTATGCACAGTCTGATAAGAAGGGGCATGGCTGTTCATCAGTTGCTCCCAAAAACCTGGTGCTTTTGGATCACTAAAGGTCCACATAAATGTGCAGGGTGCTGGATATTGTTAATAAAGGCCTTAATATTCTGAACAAGCAAAAAACAAAATTACGATTTTTTTCAAAACATTTTTATGCTACCCTGTGTCATTAAATCGAGTAGTAAGATGTCTTTTAACAAAAAACTTCCATTGCCCCCCCCCCCCCCCAAAAAAGGGGGTGGGGGTGGGGGTAATTGCTATTGCCATAGCAGCCGCCATAGCCGCATGCCGCCAGTGTTAAATAATATTCCAGCCGCCACGTTGAGGAGCAGCCACAGCTTTGCAGTCACCTTAGCAACTGCCGCAGTTTTTTTTCACCGTGGTTTGGGGACAATGATCTTGAATTTGAACTTTATTCAGACAGTCATTGTCTAAATTCAGGGTGCTAAAGGCATACAGAAACTGCCTTCAACACATTCAGGGTGTCAAGCTTCGTGCGTATGCCTGATCTGTCCTTCGCCATTTCTTGGTTGCGTCTTCTGCAGCTAAGAACACTAGACACTAGATCCAATTGCTGCCGGCATTGGGATTCTCGTGCTGCAGCACAACAAGCTGAGGATCAACCTGCTTCACTATGCCAAGCTTTGCGCAACTTAGTGCAAACTTTCTGCTTTCTTTATATTCTAAGATTGGTAGGGCCTGCACCTATGATCATCACACCTATTTGCCCATTAATGTTTCAATCAAAAAGGACCTTGAAGAGAATGCAATGTTTTCACTGGCCTTGTATTCTAGTGTTAAATTTGTCTAATTCTTCGGGCTAGTAAGTGAAAGTTGAAGCTCCTGTTATTTACTTTATGTATGTCTTGAAGATATTACCTGTGATGTTGATGGTACTACTGTCAATAGACATGCTTCTAAGTCTTGCTTTGCTTGCGCAGACTGGATCAAAGAAGGCTCCCACATCGAAGGCCACGCCACTCTCAAAAGGTCTCGAAAAGAAGACGCCAGTCTCAAAAAGAAAACACAAAGCCACGCCAACCAAGACGTGAACACTTTTTTTTTCTAGGAAATGTGTGTAAAATTAAGACAGCAAGTAAATGAATTGAAAAAAAAAAGTGTGATGCAACACCTTTTAACCCTGGTTATGCCTCATTCATTGCCCTCATAGAGATGTAATGCTTGGATGCAATACAGGTATTCCTAGAAAATTGCAAGTTTAGCAAAGAATGGCATTTTTCTCAGTGCAAGCTAAGCAAGCTATTCTCATTTAAGGGCTGCAGTTTTTGTGATCCGTCTAAAGTCAGACAAAATGTCTTTGCCATGCTCTCTGCAAGTGTTATAAATTAAAATTTCTGTTTTGAAAAAAGAAGTACTACACTGTAGCATAATCTGGTCCTGTTCACATCGCCTCCTCTATCACTCACCTGGCTTCATTTCTCGTTAGACACTTAAACCATGGCACATGGAAAGGAACATCTGTGTGCGTAAATTCAAACTACTATCTTAGAGTGCCTACGGCAAGGACTGCTACAAAGTGCCCGCTGCGCTGTAATTTTTCCTTTTGTGATTTGCCGATGTACCTATATGCATCTGTACAGCTGCCCACCTTGTTGATGGTGCTGATAATGATGGCTAATAATGCCTGAGCCAGGCCTTTAAATCACGAAGTGATTGTACATTTCACACGTTCTGGCTCCTGACGAAATTCTTTGAATCCGCTATACAATATTACATGCGGCATTGATAGAAGTGCCGCTCCAAACTGCTGCAAAAGAGAAATGCTGCTCCAAATTGCAATCTTTGTTAGTAACTGTTCCGAAAGTCCTGCGAAATGGTGTTGGGGGAACGAAATACAGCGAAGTTAAGCCATGTGACCACCCAGCGACCCTAACTGAAAACAAAAACAAGTAGTATACCTTCACTTCACTATTGTTAATCAAGCTTATTCATTATTACTCACAAGTCCGTATACTATTGCTATATTTTTTGTAATTACCCCATCCATGTAGCCATAGGAGGTCCCCCTTTCAGTTTCTCTGAAACTTTGGGACCTCCTGCTGTAATAACGCAAACCATGTACTCAACTGAACTATTTAATGAACTTGACTTGAATTAGTGTACAGCTTGTATAGTAGCTGTACACTAGAAAATTGGCAATGCTACACGTACTGGCATTTTCTATATATACAGTTCAAACTGCTTGTAATGAACCTCCATATAACGAATTCCTCGTTATAACGAAGTTTTCAGTTCCCCGCCATCGCTCTATGGAAGCGCATGTATTTGCAACTTATATGTAACAAAGTAACTGTGGGAGACAAAATAATATAACGAATTTTACCACAGACAATCTAGGAATTTTGCTCCGAATTTTGGCTTTTTGGTATGAGCGTGCATCTTCTGCGGCTGCTCCGCTGTCGACGAAGCTACAGCGTACTAGAAAGGGGCAGTGAAATGAACGAGGTGGCCCCGCCGTATCTTGGTTGATTCTCCAGCGGGTGACAGTAGCGGCGGCGCTGGCGTCGCAAGGTACTGAAGATCTCGGCAGCGTCTGCATTGGGAGCGCCCACAAGTAGCCCGCGAAAGCGTGTATTTGCTTGTTTTTAGCGCGTTCAATGCATTTCAGAGCCTTTATCAGTGTATGCACACCTGCTAACGCAATGGAGCGCGAGCAAATATGCAAACACGCCAAAGTTGTGTCGAGGCATTCACTATTTCAAAAGCCTGCCGACAAAACAAAAAAAAACTTGTAGTGCAATCAGAATTTGCACAGATTCGCGTAGCTTTTCTCTCAAGCAGCACTTTGAGCTTGGATACATCATAAGTGGCTACTGTCGAACTACAAAGAGGGGAGTATCAAAACCGCGAATAAGTCATGCGCTCGTTTTGTCTGCAGTTTTTATATCGAGAGCACTGTACTTCATATAAGTTCACATGCACTCGATTGTTTCACGAGAAACCCAATTATAAGTAATGTCGTCACAACATTTATATCGGTGACGACTTAGTTTTATCATGTTAGTTTTGCGGAAGATAATAATTAATGCTTTCTGAAAGGCTTTCTTGTTTTAACCGCGTGCTCTCGTGCTCACTTTGCTTCTTTTATGCAAGCTCCAGGAGGCCGAGCCAGAGAGCCGAGCTGAAAGAACGCCTGTACCTTCTAGTCGAGAACTCCATGCGAAGGGGGTTATCTGATATAAACATAATAAAGAGTGCCAGTTGTATAGTATACATAGCCAGTCTGTTACTCTGCACAAATTCACAACCAGTTCTAATTTTGCATTGAAAGCTTAAATTGTGCTGCTTTCCTAATATTATATTCGCATAACGCCCTTGCAAGCGAGAAAATTTATTACGATGTTTAGTATTACAGGTGTAGTTCTTTTATTACGTGTAAAATATGTAGGCAGGCGTTGGTGCATTTTGTTTTGAAAAATATAACTTGTACATGTATACAGTAAACACACACACACAAACATATATATGTATATATATATAAAGTGTTTTACGCCGTGCATTTTCTATCCAACTACGTTAGACTTGAACTAGTCTTGATACCTCATACTGTCGAAAAGGTGAAATTTACAGTGCGCATTAGTACAAAGGCATGCTATATTCAGCTTCGCCAACTGTAAACGTTTGGCACAGGGCTAGCCAGGATTTTTTTTTTTTTTTTTTTTTTTTTGTGGCGTGGAGGGGGAGGTGCAGCAGAACGACTAACTTTGGCAATTGGTGGTCGCTGTGAATAGGTGTGAATATTTTAGTATACCCTGAAAAGTTTAATTACGAAAACAGTTCCTGGTGTAGGGGGTTCAGATTCCCTTCTTCGCCCCTCTCGACTTAATTACGGCCTCCTGGTTCTGCGTGCATTTGACACGGCATTTGTTGTTCATCTTGCAGCTTTTTTAGCGCAGCTAACTTCCAATAAATCTACTCAGTTATTCTCAATATTCTAGACGCCTGCTCAACGAAGAAAGAGTTGAGAGAAAAGATCAGAGTAAGACATGCCCTTTCTAAGTAATTTTCTCTCTCTGACGAGGACTTTTTGGAGCTCAAATTAAATGGACTGGCGTGTCATACTTTAAGGGTTATGACATCATGTGCTAGACATGAATGATAGGCAGGTACGAAAAAATCTGCATCAAAAAAGCGCACCGGAGAAGCCGAAGCGCATAGCAGTTCCTGCACGCGGCTCTTTTAGTACTATTCGACTGTGGCGCCGCCGCGACGGGCAACGCGGAAGGCATCAGGCGGGAAGGCGTGGTCTTGCCACTCAACACTTCTAGTACCTTAGAAGTGTGGCAGCTTGGGCTAGTTGGTATGACATGACGATAGTTATAGCGCCCCCCGCTCAACTTTTAACCAAAATGAAAACAATCTAAAAAAAACACAAGCATTTTCCCGTGGGTGAACATGCGAATGCACGGGCACCATGTACTTTGGATAGTGTGGAAACACTGACGGCACAACATTCGCTTTCAGTCTTTTTATCTTTAGTCCCGGCTTATAGTCGGTTGGAGTAAAGTGCACACTGCAGACCTTCGACCTGTCATTTGGCAGCCAAACTTCATTGCCAGCACTTTGAAAGGAAGAAGATGAACATTCAGTGAAATATTGTGAATAAAATACAAAATTTCTTGTTCTTTTCTAAGGAGTATATCATGTAATTAGAAGTTTATACCATGGTGGTGAAGTGAATAAAACACAGTTATGAAGTGAGCGTATGACTTCACCTTGTTAACCATGTGACACACGTAACTGGCTGAGATACATTAGCACTAATGTATCTTATAAGTATTAACGGATGATCCGTTAATGGATTATAACGGATTCATTATAAGCATTAACGGATGACCACAAGAAAGAAGACAAGGACACACGCTACTCACAACTTTTCATTAGGAGAAAAGTTTTCACGTATATGTCCTTTTGTCATGCATGCGCGTAGACGGATAAACTAACACGTTTATGTCACACACGGTAGCACATAAATTCAAGTTCGAGGTCGAACTAATTAAGCGACAGAGGATAAATATTCACTTATGCAACGATCTCTGCTCTTTTTGGTAATGTAATTAAACTACCAAAGCAATCTCGAAGAATCTGGTTCTTCCCACAATGGGTGTGTTTGAAAACCTAGTTGCATAACCCCATGTAGTGACATGGCTTCCATATGTGCACTCTTGTCATCTTTTCTTTTTTTTTTTTTTGCTAATAAAAAGTTGTGAGTATAGCAGGTCATTTACTTTCTTGAGGTTGTTGGTGTACTTTTTTTTTGCGCTAATATGCATCTCAGTCTGTCATGCACCACTAACCAGCCCAGCAACTCACTCTTTTAAAGACACGTAGTCATTTACAACCCATATTACATTTTCAACATGCCAGACAACGCCCAATTGAGCAGACTTACCCTTTCTAGAAATCACCTTGATCCATTTTTCACCAACCTCGATCACTGGAAACTCATGAAAAGTCACATCAGAAGTCTTCCCTTGCCTTGATTCGCAGAAAGGCACGCAACACACCATCGTGATGGTTCATTTGCACCAAGAAACCTCGCTTCGCTGGTGTACAAACTGCACCTACCTGCACGCTTCTATCGCAGCTCGGCACGAGAAGACGGTAGCAAAAGATCGTCATTATACTTTTAAGTTTATTCAAAAAGAGGCTTTTATTCATTTTTTTCCAATCGTCCAGAGTGTATGCACGTGTAAACATTGCTGCTTTTCTCCCAGTGTCGCGCGAGCAGACAAAAAAAAAAATTGCCCGCAGCTTCCCTCGGGGGAACACTGAGGAGGATGCGGAGCATATAATTGGTTAACAGGGTGTTAAAGTGCGACTTACTTGGGCCGATGGCTAAATTGGTTAACGTGGTTGTGAAATGGGGTGTCAAATTGCGACTTACTTGGGTCGATGGCTAAATTGGTTAACGTGGTTGTAGGAGGGGGTGTTAAATGAGTGAACACGTACACACGTATGCGAAAGGGCGGCGCTGGTCGAAGGGACGTCGATCATTGTGTTTGTGGATTCGTTGGAATTCATTTCATCGCGACCTTGGACGTTGACGCGCCGTACAAACCAACCGACGAGCGGCAACTGAGCGAGCGAGCGCCGACCTTGAGTATATATACAGCGCGACGG